ACGCGTCACTTCCGGTAACTGCCACAGGGAAAGCCCCGCCCACGTTTTCCTCGGGAGCCGCCGCTACCCAGCGGGAGTGAAGGTGGGGAAGCAAGGAGGGCGCTTTGCAGCCGGTAAGTACCCCGGACATTTGCCTAGCGGAGAGAACCCACATTTCTTTTTCCAGCCTCCAAACGTGTAAGATCTCTCCAAGCCAGTCTGTCCGTCTTGGTCTGCTAACCTCACATCGTCTCCACCCGTCTGCCCATCACCTTCACAGCTCTGCCGTCAGTTCGGCAACCAGTCACCCGCTGAGCTGGCAGTGGCCCAGGCCGTCAGTGATTTAAATATTGCGGAATCTGGAGAAATAGAAAGAATCCTGCGCCAACAGGCCCAATGATGCATTAGCCTTCATGGTTCACCTTTTTTAAAATTAAATGATTAATCATCTTCCATAGTCTAGTCAGGCTCGGCTCTTCTGCTGGACTTCTATACTGTCCCAGGATATCCCCTGTAAACCCCAACGACTGACTCAAGGATGTGATGCGGTTCCAGAGTAAAGAATGTTGCTTCTGACTTCGGGAGCTGTTCCCCAAACGCCTCACAGAGCTTGCTCTCAAGTTATGGTTTTGCCAGTGCCCTAGTTTCTCACGGTGGGGATTGTGTCATGCGTGATCCAGGGTGCAGAAGCAAGCTTCGGGAATACTGTTGGTGCAAGAGGAAGTGCTTCCAGTGGCAGATTGTTTTAGCATAAGGGAACCAGCTCCCCATTTTTGCTTTGAGTGGGTCATACACTCCCATAATTGGGGCAGCTCCTTAAATCACTTCAGGTATGACAGTCAGCATGGAATCAAATTCTCTGAAGAAATGTATCAGTTGCGTTGAGTCTCCTTTGAGATCATGTACACTTGGACCGTCATTTGCACAGCTCGGCCTATGAACTCAGTCCTCTAATAAACACTTGAAAGAGCCAGGGAGACATGCTGAAGACCTGAGGACTCTGATGATTGGGCTGACCCTGATCTTTGCAGGAACCTGGTTTCCTGTAGCTCACTCTTTGCACATCCCCATTCACACGGATATTGCATAGGTTTGGTGTGTTTTTTTTTTAACTCCTGAGCTGATTGATGGGCTCCATAAATTCAAGTTTGCCCATCTGTTTTTTCATGCATAAAATGGAGGTAATAGTACCTACCTCACAGATATTTGGGGGATTAAATGAAATAGTGTCTAGGCCACAAGCGCCCAATATATAGGAGCAATTCCTTTTCTTTTAGCTTTCAAGATATGGCATTCTCCTGTAAAGTTTGTCTCTGCTCCTTCTCCAAATACTTGTTGGGTCACTACTTCCAAGGTAGTCATCTTCAGCTTAGGACTGTATTCACTGTATCTTATTTTCATCCATTCTCATAATTTCACTTGTGGCCAATACCCTGATGAGCCCCAAAGCCCTATGAGCAGTCTAGATCTCCATGAGTTTATAACTATCCAACAGCACACCAAAACTTAACATATGTAAAGCAGAACTCTTCTTAAATCTGTTCCTTATCTTCCTAATTAGACTATAAATTCTGGGACAACAGAGACCATGTTAGGACATGGCTAAACTCCCTAGAGCTTAGAAAAATGCCTGGCACATAGGAGTTAAGTATTTGCTGAAAGACTGAATAAGCTTTTTTATATCAGTAATATGAATGCTATAAGAAAAATGGCAAAGGCCCTTTTGGGTCCCTTCTCCATCCTAAAATGCTCAAGGAGAAGCCACCTGTGAGATCCTGGGATAACAGCTGGGCCTAAAGCCCTGATACCTCCTATTAGACACACACCGATAACATAAAGATAAGGCACCTCCCAAGCATAGAAAAGTATCTGGATTTTATTTGATAATTTCAGAGTTTTTGAAAATATTGATAAACAAAAGCTGTACTTGGAGTTGGATGACAAACATGCTTTTTAACATAAAATTTTCATCCTCAAATGACTTTTTCTGAAAAATATTCCATCTTAGGCCTCTTGCTGCAGACAAGTTCCATGGGAATGCACCAAAAAGAGGCAGGGAAACAGTCCCCATGGGAGACTAGTTTCTTTAAAACACAGGCTGCTACTACTTCCTGTGAAGTTCATAAAGTGCCTGTCCCTTTGCTTAGTCATCCAGAGTGAAGTCAAAGGGCTCAAAGTCTTTGCGGAAGCGGCGAGCCAGGGTCTCCTCCTCTTCCTTGCTGATCTGACACTGCCTCCAGTCAGACTTGTCAGGAATATTAAGGATGGCTTCACTTGCCAGGACCTCCCTGCAGAAAGAGCACAAAGAAGTCATAATAGAATCAATTTAACGCTCCCACCTTTCTCTCCTGACGGAGAGCGTTCCTCAGCATCACCCAAAGAAGGCATGCAAATTCCTCTGACTTTACTCGTACCATTTTCTCTTGTCCTGAGTGCCATCTCTGCCATTCTATCAAAATCATACCCATTTTAAGTGACCAGCTCAGGTCCTACCTCATTCTTAAACCCTCAAATCCCATTTACTTCTCTGAACAACTTGGTACTACATTTATTGGTACTTAGAGAAACAACATGGCACAGGAGAATGAGGGCAGACCCTGGTGCCATAAATATCAGAGACAATTCCATTCCTAGTTCTGCCACTTGCTGTCTATGACTTGAACAAATGATTTCATCCCTGAATCTTGATGTTTTCACCTATGAAATGCAAAATAAGGGTTTTGTGAGGTACAGAGATAACACAGTCAAAGCACCAAACTAGCTGTGATTATTACACCCTGTCTTAAACTCTAGTTTTGTCATCTGAATTAGACCATGAGTTTGCTAAGGGCATGGTGCAGAGTCAAGTACCTAGTACCATAACCCACTCTGACTTTATGCCTCCTTTTAGAGGACTCAAGCCTACATAGGCACAATAGCACAGGCTCCATAAAACAAACAAAAAACCCACAACTACTTATCTTGGTTCTTAGAATTAAAAAATAATTACTTACAGACACATATATAAGCTAGCTTTTAATTGCCACTGCTTTATATACATTATTTGTTTTGCTATATTAGAATAACTTTATTTGTGCATTTATATGGTTTATTTTTCACTTTAAAGCTACAATAAATAGAAGAGCTGAAAACAAATCACATGAATCTTCTAAAAGTCAAAGGACCTGAGCATAACTTCTACCTGCCTACACAAACCTTGAATCTAGTTCTCTTCATCTGTAAAATGAATATAGAACCAGCTTTTTGTATAATTAGTAGCCCAGTGCACGAATTCATGCACACTGAAAGGAAATTAATTAGAAGAAATATTTTAATATTGCTATTCGCCCTTTCTCTATAATAGAAGTGTCAACCAAATTCACGATCGACAATGACAGATGGAAACACACGTGTGCAATTGGCGCTGGCGAGAGTTTTACATGTATCACACATGTGCAAGTCAACTTAGCCTTTTTATATATATAGAATAAACAATTAGACCTGCTTTCTGATTTAGCTAAAGTTCCAATGGTTCTCAACCTTCTGGCCCTTTAACCTTTGCAGTCCAATGTTCTTTTTGGAGTTCAAACAGTCTGGTCCAAATTAACTGACAGGATTGAATGTTGAACTTTTTAATGTTCTTATTGCTCGACGTTGGACCTGCTCCTAGTGCCTGGTCTGTCGAGTCAGCCTCAAGGTTGGACCGAAAAGGGTTAAATACAGTTCCTCATATTGTGACCCAACCATAAAATTATTTTTGTTGCTACTTCATAACTGTAATGTTGCTACTGTTATGAATCGTAATGTAAATATCTGATATGCAGGATGGTCTTAGGCGATCCCTGTGAAAGGGTCCTTTGACTGCCAAAGGGGTTGTGACCCACAGGTTGAGAACCGCTGAACTTTTTCCAGCCAAGTGATGCACCCCAACTTCTAGTTCAGAAATTGTCAGCAACACAGCAGTAAATATCAACACAAACCAGATTATTATTGTAGATCATCCAGGGAGAACAAAGGGTAAAATATTTAACTGCAGCAGTGTTTGACTATATTCTGTGCAGTGAGAAAACCTGAAGCCTCTATGTAAAAAGTCTATTGAGTACTGCTCTAAAGCCTCATTTTCCATAGTGGTAAACTGAGCGCCACTACATACCTTACAGAATTGGGAAGATTAAATGAGACAATGCATGTAAAGTTCTTAGCACAATGCCTTTGGCAGAGCATATGTTCAGTTAATGGAGGCATTTATTCCCTCAGGCTAGGATTTTGACATTCCAAAGTTTATCCTCTAAATCTCTCTGTCAGTCTCAGCCTCAACCCTTTCATGAAGCCTTTCACTGATTAGACATGAGCTCACTGTCTCTGAATTTCTGAAAGACATTGTTTCTAAAAACTTCATGAAGGTACTTTTCACATTACCGTCATATATGTAAATATCTGACTTGCCCTAAGACTATTACTTTCTTAGGGCAAGAATTCTTTCTTATTTAGCTTTTTATTTAACTGTCCATGCAGCCTACTACTTTGTTCAGAGTAGGTCTAGTGGAAATACATTTAAAATAAGTAAACTATACAAACCTTCCAAACTGCAAAGGAAAATTCTTTTTAATTCTGTGGAAAAGCTTCTCTCCTGTGTCAAGTTCAACATAAAAATATGCTGCTCCTGGCTGTGCAATCTAAAGTAAACAGAGTTGCATGAGGACATACAATAGTGCTTTAAAAATCGAAAACCTGGCTCATCTCTTCAAAGTTTTAATTTGGCAAAGAATTCAGTCTAGCAGCACAAAGGATGTAAGCAGCTATAGATCCCAAGCCACTCAGTGGAACTCAAGTTGAAAAAGCCAAACTGGCAGATATTGCAAGACCCTCCCAGTGGCACCCATCTTTCTAAGTTCCTGCCTTAGAAGTTTCTCATTTCTTATTTTTCCCAGGAAAGCACTGAGGCATTGCTGTAATGCCATCATTGTCTCCAGTCTAATCAATACTTCAAGCTCTTGTTCCACATGGTCACCTGTCTTTAACATTTTTGGAATGCCCGATGGCACCTCAGGCTCAGTGTGTCAGAAACCAGGTTTTCACCTCTCCCTGACCATCACCTTGCCCTCCTGTTTTACCTGTTTGATATCCGAGTGCTCTGGGATTTCCAGCAGCTCTATCTGCTGCTCCTGTGCCTGGGTAATGAAGGCGTCTTTAATGTCATCTGGGGTGGAGGAGGGTAGGAAAAAGTTTTCATATAGGTCCCAAAGAGGTCATGCAGTTCCTGAGAAATAGCAAATCCATCACAGGGGTGGAGAAACACCCCTCAGCAGAGATTTTCCTCAGGCCAGACAGGTCCATGTCAGCCTGTCTGTAAGGACTTAAACTTATGAGATAGCCTGCCATGTGGGAGCCAATTTCTGATGTGGGAAAGGCTAGAGAGATCTCTTTATCATCAAGCCTTTCCTAGCTCCTATAGAATATATGTGGCAGAGTCAGGCCCATTTGAAAACTTAACAAATGGGCCAGAAAGAAAACCACCACAACTACAAAGAAATTCGCCATAACAGTCTCCAAATGACTTAGCTGCTAGCCCCACAGGCTCTGAGACTGCTTCCTACCTCTGAACAGTCACTCACATTGGGCTTCACATAAAATACCTAATTTCTTCCAAATTCGACCTATCAAGGCCCAAATTTTTCTTGGAACCTTCCTCCACTACCCATTCCTTTTCTAAACAAGGTACTTACTGTCTGTGCAGTTCACTTATACTGACCATGCACTTCCCTGTGAACTCTCTGGAGTTATCACCAGAGACTCTTAACCTTTTAAATGAACATTACCTAAGTATTAATATGAAAATTCATGTTAAAATTTTAAATATAAAACATTTAGTTTTACATTGGAATCAAATATTTAAATATTAAAATATTAATCACAGTAATTATTAAAATTAACATTATTTAAATATTTATCAGTATCTAGGCCCCATATGGTCCTTCCAAGTTCTTGGGCAGAGACCACCTACCTGTAGCTGGAGGTGATGGCTCTTATAATTTCTCTCAAATAGAATACATCGTTTCCCTCGACTCTTAAAAAACTTCCTCAGTGTAGCCTTATACTTCTCCACCTCTTCCACCACCTCTGCTGAAAGCTCCACCACTGACTGGTAGTGTCCAATAGGCAGGATAAGGACATGATCATCAGATAAGCCTCCTTTGGCCAGAGCAAGGTAGCACTGAAGATGAAGCACACAGAGGCGAGGAATCAATACTGCATGTATGGTTCTTCAGGGAGAAAGCCTATACAGTACAAAGAGTGAGCCTGGGGGTGTGTGAAAAAGGGCTCACAAGGCTACTAACAGGAATTCTCCAACTTTCAAAAGTCTGATTTTAGAGATTACAACAATGTTCCCAAGTACCTGCTGAAGAATGAGGTTAGATGCAACAAATTTCTATGCAACTATCAAATGAATTGGTAGCAAATGAGCAGCACACCAACAGATTTTTGTCTTCAAACACACCAGAGCCATAAAGGACCAGAACAAACAGTTGGTTTTCCTTTCTAGGCTCCAAACTTAAAAAAAACAATTTTTTAGTTACTATTACCTTCAGCCACAGGAAGAGCCCACCCACTTCTGCTTTCAAAATGACCACTCTCCCCACAGTAACACCCATCCCTCCGCAAACACACACCCAGGCTCACAAAAAGAGCTCAGGTGACATGATTAGCATCCAATGTCCTACAGCCTTAAGCTGCTGACTAACCTCTACAAAAGGAAAGCAAACATATGACCTGATGGGTTGGAGGAAGAATAAAAAACTTCAAAGTCAAGTGTATCCAAAAAAGTAGAAAACTATTGTCCCAGCAATGGATGCTGGCAGCTAAAAAGCAACTAAAAATATATCTGTCAAAACCAAAACATATAAGACCTCTCTACACTCATTCTTTGAAAGGAAAACAACACTGTGAATAGAGAAAAGCCAATGCATACCAATGCAGGCGAATGAAGGCACCAGAGCTTTAGAAAGAACAATCCAGAGTATACTTTTAGTGTGGCGGGTTCAAAGTTAAGGCTGAAGGTAGGAGTTATTTATTTTTCATTTACACTGAGAAAGTCCAGTAGAATGACAATGTAGGTAGTGGAAACAAACTAAAGTATGATCATCCTTGATCTACTTGGCATAGAGAATTGAATACATCTACAGTTAATTTTCCAGATGACTAAAGTTTATCAAAATCTCATAAGCACTAATGCATTTTCTTTATTTTCACAATAACTATTTTTGGTTGTTTCTTTTTAAAGCTTACTCCAGAAGCCTGAATCTTCTAGACCAGGGGTGGGCAAACTTTTTGACTCGAGGGCCACAATGGGTTCTTAAACTGGACCGGAGGTCCGGAACAAAAGCATGGATGGAGTGTTTGTGTGAACTAATATAAATTCAAAGTAAACATCATTACATAAAAGGGTATGGTCTTTTTTTTTTTTTGGTTTTATTCATTTCAAACGGGCCGGATCCGGCCCACGGGCTGTAGTTTGCCCATGGCTGTTCTAGACTTTTCTTTATATCAAAGGGTCACTGTCATAAATAGCAGTTTTTATATTGTGATGTGCATTGAGGCTACGAAAGCTTTCTAGTTTACACTAACTACCAACCCCCAATGCAGTGCCTTACAGTTCTTGTGAATAGTTTCACACTTGCCCAATCTCCTTCCTCCTTTTCAAATTCTCACCTTCTAATCTGTTCCACACTGAATTATCTCTAAATGTATCTCGAATGTATAAACAGGACCTAAATGAATGCTTCCCCCATAGTAAAATGTAAGGACTTTGAAGGAGTTATTTTGGACTTTTAGCAGCTTCCCCTCCTTTTACCAACTTGTGGCCATGGGCCATTAGCATAGGTGTATGTATGTTCCTTGAGGAAGGCCTGGCAAAGACAGAGAAAGCCAGAGGGAAAAAGTAATGAAAGGAGATTATTGCAAACCCTTTGCCAGACACCAAAGGTCACCAGAGGTTCCCAAGAGGTTTCCACCAGACCAAGGACAGTACAGGTAAGTGTAGACTGATTACTAGGTAGGTGCTAAAATCCTCATGTGGCCTCAGAATTGGGGTGCAGGGCCACAATCAAGACCTAGGATGCTTTCTGCCCCTCCTACCTTTAGGCCCAGATGAGAAACAAACAGGTTTCCTTGATTATCACCTAGGTTCACGGCCTGGGCAGTAGAAAGGTGACTGGGAAGGGAAGGCCATTTCTTCCTGAGGCCCAGAGCAGCACTGGGTTAAGTTAACATTACAAATCTTTTTCCCTGCATGCATTTTGAGCCTATTGAAGCCTCCAAAATAGAAAGGCAGTGTCAAGCCTGCCTTACCACTCAATGTGTGAGGGAGAGAAGAATGGCATAAACTAATCCAAAGAGGAAGGGCATTCTTGTGAAAAGCGAGAGCTTTTCAAGTTTGCTCTTCTTCTCACTGACGGGTTCATCCATAGGCTCCATGGTCCAATGGTGTCACAGGCCTTGACCACATCAGTGTTCCCCCTAGAGAAAGGAGTATTTATGCTAATAATAAAGACATAAAAATTAAATGTAAATGACTGGGACTATTCAGTCTGAAACAACAAAGGCAGGAAAGGGATGTGACTTAAAGTGTAAGATGAAATTGAGATTCTAGTCCGTCAGTCTATAGGAGGCCACAATAAAGGGCCCTCAGATTGCCAGGATAAGTTGAGGAAAAGATCACATTCAGAAAACACAATTAGAATAAATCAATGAAAAAACAGATGAAAGTATCTGTCTGCAGAAGCACCACACATTAAGAAATGGTTTGTAAATATTTCTTTCAGGAGCCTCAGGAAACAGCCAATTCTAATCATGCGTGACAAGGGTGTAACTATAAGCCTGAAAATACGCTTTTTTCATTCAAAGCAGATGAAAGGGATAATGGTCTATATGGTTCCCAGTGAAATAAGGGCCAAAGACTAGTATTATTCAATACATAATTGAGCCTTGCCCAAGGAAAAGTAGGGAAATGCGAAATAGGATGAGACACACATACTTCATTAGCGTTTTCCACAGCCTAAGTAAAATCATCTTTAAGATGATAGTCTGATTCAGTACTCACCAAGCAACCTTATAATTATTACTAGGGACACCCATGCCAGGAATGTGGATATGGGGATTCTTGTCATTAGGAAGCTATCTCCTCCACTACTATACAACACTGAGAATTTATCACTTTTTAGTAGTATGGAATAAAAATAGAGTTTGAAAAGTATATAGGAGATCCATTCCTATTTATCAGAGAGGGAGAAAAGTGGGGAGCAATCTTGTTCAACTGGCACTATAAAACCGCAAGAGAACTGCTATAATAAAAAAGACAGACAATAACAAATGTTGGCAAGGATGTGAGAAAACAGGAACCCTTATATATTGCTGGTGGGAATCTAAGATGGTATAGTCATTTTGGAAAATAGTTTGGCAGTTTCTTAAAAGGTTAAATACAAATTCCACTTCTGGGTGTCTCTCCAAAAGAAATGAATACAAATGTCCACACATGCCTGCACATGTTCACAGCAGCATTATTCCTAATAGCCATAGAGTGCAAACAACCCAAATATCAATCTGTTAACAAATATATAGACCAAATGTAGTACATATCCATACAATAGGATACTATTTGAAAAGGAATATTGATCAATGCTACAACATGGATGAGCCTCAAGAATATTATGCTACGAAGCCAGGCACAAAGATCACATATTCTATGATTCCGTTTGCATGAACTGTCCTGAAAAGGTACACCCATGGAAACAGAAAGTAGACTAGTGTTTGGGGATGAGGGTGGAAAAGGGGATTAACTGTACTTAAAATGGGCCTGTGGGATCTTACTGGAGTGATGGACATGTTCTAAAACTGTATTATGTGATGGTTGCACAACTTGGTAAGCTTACTAAAAAATGTTGAATTATATACTTACAGTGGGTGAATTTTACAGTATGTTTATGGACTCAATAAAGTGATACAAAACAAAGAGTTGTCTCCTTCTCTGTAAAAGATCCATGAAAGTAACTTACATGTGTGCCGATGTTGACCACCAAATGCTTCTCCACTTCAGGGCTGGCGAGACAAAACCAGCAGGGTCCTAGAGGCTGAGCTTTATGTGGAAGAAAGCCGAATGTTACTGTGGTCCAAACACTCCAGCATATAACCACCCTTGTCTGATCTTTATGTCCTGCAAAGACTGGTATTCAGCACTGCCACAATGGACTGGGCCTGTTGTTTTCCCACCAGGACCACTACCCCATCACCACTATCGATGAAACTAAACCTCTTTTAGAAAAATTCTTAATTTGTAACCATTCCACAGGTAGGTAATCCACAACTGATAACCACATATTGACTAAAGAAGCATGTGACTGGCAACAGGCTGCAATGAAAGAACACTGAACTGGGTGTCAGGAACCCCAATTTTAGCCCCAGCTTTGCCACTAGCTAGCCACATGACCCTGAGCACTAAGCTTTCCCAAGGTCAGCTTCTTCATCTTTGAAATGAGAGGGTGGATAAAAAGAATCTCACCTGGCCAGTATGGCTCAGTGGTTGAGCACTGACCCATGAACCAAGAGTTCACAGGTTCAATTCCCAGTCAGGGCACATGCCTGCTGGGAGCATGCAGGAAGGGGCCAATCATGTCTCTCATCAACGTTTCTATCTTTCTATCCCTCTCCCTTCCTCCCTCTAAAGCAGTGGTTCTCAACCTGTTGGTCAAAACCCCTTTAGCGGTCGAACGACCCTTTCACAGGGGTCGCCTTAGACCATCCTGCATAGCAGATATTTACATGATGATTCATAACAGTAGCAAAATTACAGTATTGAAGTAGCAACGAAAATAATTTTATGGTTGGGTCACAACATGAGGAACTGTATTTAAAGGGCCAGAAGGCTGAGAAACACTGCCCTAAAATCAATAAAAACATACTTTAAAAAATTTTTAAAGCAATAAAAAAAGGATCTCAATGAAATAGCCTTAAAGTCTCTTTTATCATTTTGATTATCCTATTATTTTATGAACCTACATTAGTTTTCATAGGCTCTTTAGTTCACGTTTTACAGACATGAATGAAAGGAGCTGTTTCCATAGTTCTCATAGGAACAGTCTCAGACAGCCTCAGAGTCAGGCCATTTTTGCATTTTTTCATTTTTATTATTGGTCTAATGACTCATTATACAATTTCCTTTGCCAGAAGAGGCTCTCTTAGTAATGCTGCTTCCCAAACAAGACCCAAAATAACAATTACTGCTCACAGAGGAGACCTCTGGAACTGAGGTACTTACGAGGTTTGCGAGGCTGCTTTGGGTGAGGAGACTTGCTATCTCTGCCTGTAGATGAACGCTTCCTTCCCTGTCTTTCATTTAAATCGAAGAAAAACTGACAGGCTGACTCTTCCTGGAATGGCCAAAGGTAGAAAAGTATATGTTATTTAACCTCTGGACAAGTGCCAACCATTCACATACAAAGGAACATTCCTGCCATGTAATGTCTATCTTTTCTCCCAGCCCTTTATGCCTATTCTAGAGAAGTGTCTGGACTCAGTCATATTTCTCAGCATTTATCCCAGCTGCCACCAAATCCATCACTTTGGAAAGGCAAGTTAAAATCCAAGTTATAGAGCAATTCTTGCCTAAAACAACAATATGGACTCATCCAAATTCCTTTCCCTTTCTCTCTCAATGCAGTCCTGCACTCCCCAGGTCAAAGAACTCTAATTGAGATTTAATTAAAAAGATAAGAAGGTTGCTCATAAAGAAAAAATGTCTGAGAAAGCATACTAATTTTCCTCTCATTTGACATTCCTTGCTGTAGTGAGGGGAAATTAATTTCAGGAGAGTTGGCTATTTAGAAATTTCTTCAGAGTGAATCTTATTTACCTACTAGCACTTATAAAATCACGAATTACATTGCTATCAAGCAGTGTTTGGATCCTTGCCTGAAAAGTTAAGAATAATCAACTAGATTAAAAAGAAAAGTTAAGCTATGAAAAGTTAAGCTCAAACTACAATTAAAACAACAACACCACCGAGCTTACTTAAAAACAAGCTTTCTAAACACCACCATGTTTTCCCAACAGGAAATGAAAATTTCAATTCTAAGGATTAAACTTATCTTATAAATAAACTATAACACAAGTAAGGGAAATCCTGCCCAGAAAATGCCACCTCTCAATCAGAACATACCTCAGGGGCAGGAACTTGCTTTCCGATGGATGCTTCCTTCCCGCATTTCCTGTAAGGGTTTTCAGTGACATCTGGAGGCTGTTTTACCAGTTCTGCTGCATCCATCAGTTTCATGGGAACGATGCTGAATGCATAAAGATACTTTGGAGAAAAACAACACAACAACATTAAGGGAAATACTGTTTATCCGAATGTAGTCAATCTCTTTTATTGTGAAGATTTCACAGAGGCTTCTGAAACTAAGTAAAATTCGAAAAGCAGCAATTGATCCATCTATGGCTCAGAGAATACTTAGTAAATCAAATGCCAATTCAGTGGTCTCTGCAGGGGCTAACCAAGGGCTGACAAGTAATGAGCAACAAGTCAAAGTCCCCGTCCTTACACAAAACACACATCACTACAAAGCCCAGAAGGATTTGCTCCATAAACTTCGAAGACATATTGCTTCTGTCTCTAAGACCTGTAACTTTGTGTACTTGATGTCAACAGAACCATGGCACTGCCATTCTTTTTTCTAATGAAAACTAGATTGGACAACTTAGTGTTCGCTCTGACATTACACAATTTCTGCTGTATATGCTGATACATTTTCTTAGTAGCAAAAAGGTAAATATTCATATGGATACCTAGAATTTCAGACTAATTACTCAGCTATTGAGAACTTTAGATGAGAAATGAATAGATGCCTAACTTCACTACTGATCACAGAAATCTAACTAATTAACAATGATACACCATCTTCATCCATCAGAATGGCAGAAGCTAATAAAAATTTGGCACTACCCAGTGAGAATGTGGACAGGAAACAAAGTCATACACTGCTGGTGGGGTGTAAATGGGAACAAAATTTTGGGAGGAATTTAATAATGCCTCCCAAATTTAAAAAATGTGCATATTTTTTGACTGAAGTATGAGTTGCTTAGGGCTGAGGCTAACACATCCCTGGGAGTAAAGCAATAGACTGAAAATACTACAAGTGATACTCGGGCTTTATAAGGCAGCAAAAAAATCTAGCTATCTAAACTTGGTAAGAGTGCACTGGGCTTAAAAGCTTAAGATATTATGGAAAAGACAAAATATATATTCGCTTATCTTTTGCATGTACACTGCGTATGGCATATTACAGTTACTGAGGTGCTGGGACACTGCGATTGGGTAGGAGTGGGGAGAGAAGACATGAATGCTAAACAGGAAAAGAGAAACATTTATCAGGCAGACAATGATTATTAACCTACCCATAAATACTAAAATCTTTACCTTTTTCTTTTCTGGATTTCCAACATTTGCCAGTGCTATGAACCTGGTAGCATGCTGTGCATTTTCCTGTAGAACAATGTGGTTTCTATAATATATTAGAGAGATGACAGGTTACCAAAAAACTTAAAATATGTAGACTCCATGGAGCCATGAAAAGAGTCCTAAGTTCATCACCACCAATAACATAACCTCACATGTTACCTGTTCACCTAATAGGATAATCACCCCCCCCCTCCCAGGGCTGTTGTTGGGGAAGAATAACATCACAAATCTAAAAAGCATAAAACTCCAACTTTTGGTTTTAAAAGAGTTGTCAAATTAGAAAAATGTTGATAATTGATAAAGCTAGGTGATGGGTACAGGAGGGTTCATTAAACTATTCTCTCTAGTGTAATAAAAAGCTATAATAATGAAAATCAAAAGGAAATGAGTTTTAAGTGGAAAAAAACATGCTTCAAATAGTAATATATAGGATCATTTAATTTTCCTAGAAAAAATATAAAAACACATGAATGTTTATTTTTCATAGGAAAAATATGGGAATTGCATATACCAAATTTTTTTTTAGATTTTCTATGTTTATAAGCATTTGCACTGAGCAATTTACTATTTTTAATTTTTTAAAAAGTTATGGCATTATACATATTTTTTATTTTTTAGTGAGTTAGTTGACCATTGATACAGATGCCAATCCTTAGAGTTCTTTACTTTCCTCATGCCTCAGAAATTTTCTGAATCTGTCAAAAATGTAATTTTATTTTAAAAATCTAGTATAGCAGCCCTAGCTGGTTTGGCTCAGTGGACAGAGCGTTCACCTGTGGACTGAAGGGTCCCAGGTTCAATTCCGGTCAAGAACACATGCCCGGACTCAGTCCCCAGTAGGGGTGTGCAGGAGGCAGCCGATCAATGATTCTCTCTCATCACTGATGTTTCAATCTCTCTCTTCCTCTCCCTTCCTCTCTGAAATCAATAAAAATATATATTTTTTTAAAAATCTAGTATACCATCTATCTATATAAAACCCCAATATGCAAATCGATCTAATGGCAGAACGACCAGTCGCTATGGTGTGCATTGACCACCAGGGGGCAGACACTCAGCCCAGGAGCTGCCCCCAGCCCGCAGGCCCCAACTGGCAGTGGCGGTGGGGGGCGGGGTGGGGCCGCCTGCCAGGCCAGCCAAGGCAGGTGCAAGTAGGGCCCCCCGATTGTCCCGCTAGTTGCCCCATAGGTCAGCCCTAATTGCCAGCCAGGCCTCGGGACCCTACCCATGCACGAATTTCGTGCACTGGGCCTCTAGTTTTATATAAATAAATCCATAAATACGTTTCATATTCACATTATTGAAAGAAATGTACCAAAATATAGTCTGTCTGCTACAACTTTTTTTTAAATAAATCCACTCATAATTGATAAATGGGAATGATGTCAGATTAAGGTGAAAGTCATGCTATTTCATATACAACTTTCTCCAACTATTTTAAATGATTATAACAAGTTTACTCATAATTAAGTGGAAGCTTTAAAAATACATGAAGACATTAAGAAATATCCTGAGAAATTTA